AGGTAGCTCTGTTTTGGAAGTTCAGTTAACGCTAGAAATGTGCTTTGGAGTTTGTACATGTTTCGTCCCTAGGGGTCCCCATAAGTATTTATATATAAACATACATAAAGAAAACCACGTTTTTTTACATTACTATTTCCTTTTGTGCATAATTTTATATTGTTATTGATAACTAATTAAAGCAACAAAACAACCTGAAGAGCCGGTTCGGAGCCGAAAGAGCCGGTTCTCTAAAAAGAGCTGGACATCCCATCACTATTAGGAACTAGATTGTTCTGTTTCTTAAGAGTGCGAGACTTCACACCTTTAAATGTTCGTCTGAGACATGACCTGTTGCAAGTTCCTGTTTGTTAGAAGATTTTTTAATATTAAAGCATTTTATTATTCACATAATAATCAGCTAAAAGTGTTCATATTTCTGTTTGCACTCAACCAGCTGCACAACTAACTGTCTGCACCTTGCCTTAAAAGGACTTGTTTTTATTACACTATTTGATAGAAACAGGAAACCGCCACCCAAGAATAAGAAACGACCTTTTAAGAACATGACCTTTTAAGAACATAACGTTCCGAGAAGTCACACCTGCCTGTTTGACTAGATAAGAATGTTACTTCCTTTCTTGTATGCTTCATGCTGTGTATAAATAAAGGCAGAGAGCTGCTGCAGGGGTGTGAGTCTCCCTTGAGCTCTCACCCGTGCACGTTGAACTGTTACAAGTGTCTGAGTGTTATTTCATTATACCTGATTGCTTGATAAAGAATATCTCTATCACTGTTCCTATCATTTAGCGAGACGCTTACTTCTGCTTTCCTGCATACCTCATACACACAGTTTAAGTTCATTGAAAGGCCATATGTCAATTTATAGTATGGTTAGACACACACACACACAGACGTTTTTCAGATATGCCTGCTTAAGAATGTCACATGTATTTGTAATTGCATATTCATGAATGATTGCTTGCTGACAATAAAAAGAGCTGTAGCGAAGGAATCAGTCGAAGTTGGCTGAGTTCAGGTGAAGGAATCTTTTCCTCAACTTTGGCCGACTTCCCTCGCAAGCCACTAAACACAGAGAGCGCCTTCTTGTCTTGTTTTGTCGTGCAGCTGAGTGTCTTGTGTTCCAGCGGGGTTTGTGCCAACACACTACTCACCTGTACAAACACGTTACACCTGCTGTTAAGGTCCTCTTGCAACTTCTCACTTTTTTGTTCTTTGTACAAGATGGACTCCATCTTCATCATCCAAGACGTTACAAACAGATAGTAGGACTGAATATCCCTGAACACAAACAATATGTTTAGATACTTCACTTTATATTTAATAAAAGTGGCTGACATTCAGCTTTACTCACTTTGTTAATGTCTG